CAATAAGAGATAACGTTATTATATTTTTTTCCTAAATAAATAAGAGAATGGGTAACTGCAGGTTGCATAATTTTTGATGTGAACCCTATGCATTATGCCATCTTTATTGTTTTATTTTTTTTAAACGTTTTTTTTGGGTTTCTATGGATAATAATTTGGTGATATGGGTAGATGAATTCTATTTTTCCAAGTTAGTTATGTGATCCAATGTTTGGGGTACCATGCTATGCCTAAAATTTACTATCATATGCTGTCATATGATGATTTAACTGAAACATACTAGTTACAGATGCAAAAATTATAACTACATGGGGCCATACTTGATAATGAAGTTATAATTATTTCTTTCGTAGCAACTGTATCGTACGTAACTATATTAAAAGATACATTTTTAGCATAAACAATGAAAAATATCATTAAATCCACAAATAAAATTGTCAATCAAGAAAGAGTATTTTTGGCTCACATCACTCAACACACTCCATAAAAGAGGCCAGCAAGACCTGCAAACAGTTAGCTAACAACATAGCTTGAAACAAATAGTTAGAACCAATCCTAAGAGAGATTAGCAGCAAATTAGAACAAATCAACAAAACCCAAGTTTGGTTTGTGCTAAACATCATTTAATGCCTTCAATTTTATTTTTTCTTCCCCACTAAAATTGCATATGAAAACCAAAATACATCCTCAAAATATACTGCAAAACATAATTGGGTGTTGAGGCCAAAAAAGATCATGATAAAATCTGAGAGGGCACTTATAGGATGGCATCATAAGAAGTCAAACAAAATAGTTTTCTAGTGAGAGTAACAACACTGGACCATTTTCCATTGGCATTAAAAATAGAAAAAACATAGCTGTTACCTTCCATGAGGTGTCATGGAGCATCTAATGGGAATGGGCAACTTTTTTTTGAAACTCAAGCTGCTCATATCTCTCACCAGCTTTATGGAAATTTCAAATTAACCTTTTTAGTTACCCTGACAGCAGTTTTAAATGGTGGACATACACACAGAGGAAACTGATATACGGTTTCTCTTCATTTACACCATATCATACAACAAAAACATAACAACCCATGGACAAACCAAGTGTTTTTCAACATGACATTCAGTTCACTAATACTTTGTTATAAGGCTGAAATGAGTCTTAAATAATAAAGCACCCTGTTGACAACAAAATCTGGGCACAACAATATTGTGGCAGTGGCAGTGGCAGCACCTAGGTAGGACAACCAGTGTGGTTTCTTCACCTGGGCAGCAAGAACACAATGTTGCAGCAACCTAACCATGTATAAGAAAAAGTATAAGAAAGGGATAGAAGACGTTTCTTATCTCAATAGAACAAAAACAATCCTTCTAAATTAGTACTTCATTTATTTAAAAGGAAATCAAGAGCGTTGTTAAAACATAGCATGAAGAAAGAACTCCATTCATTTGCCTTAAGCGGCTCTTTAGGATCCCCGATAAATTCGTCCGGATTACACCGGAAGAACTCCCTCTTCAAGAAAGAAGGCCCTGCCTCAGCTGCCTGATTCCCAGCTCTAAGAATACCCAAGGCTCCTGCTATCTCTCTGGCCAAGGCACCCATAGCCTGCTGACCCACTGGTTCTAAATTAGTACTTCATTTATTTAAAAGGAAATCAAGAGCGTTGTCAAAACATAACATGAAGCACTCCTCCTAATCAATTAGTACCCAGTTTTTTAAGTTTTGTTTCCACTTGTTCCAATTCTTAGCATACACACAGTAATCATAAGCAGATTGAAAGATTATGAAATAGAGTAAAATCAAAATCCATTTTTCTCAAAACCAACACAATGACAGTATAAGAATGAGCCTAATGAAAGTCACAATTTTAAAATAAATAAATAATTGACCTCATTACATAAAAATCAATTATATATCATCTAACTAAGAGTTGATCTCATAACCTAAATAATTGATCCCATCACATTAAAAATAAGTAAATAAATAAATTAAAAAAAAATTACTAACAGTTGCACCATCCCTTTTGCATTCTTAAAAATGTATTTGATTGGGTTAACTCTTTCAATTTTTAAAAAAAAGTTTGTGCTGCCTTTGAATCTCCAATCTACGTAAACATACAAAGATCCCAAAGGAAAACCGAAATGAATTATATTTTGAGAAAAATTCAAAAAGAATTTAGATTTTAAATATTTGAAGTTTAAAGTGGAGAAATAAATTGACATGTTGGATTCCAATATTTGGTTTAACTATTGGCCACAAAGCCCCAAGTAAATTCTTAAGATTTGTTTGGATTTCATGTCAGCACATAGAGTGGTGACAAGGAAGATTATTAAGCATACCCACCAGGAACTATGTCCATTTATCTCAAAAGGCTTCCCAGCAAAATGGTTAACGATTATTATTTCTCTATAGATATTTGATTTCAAAGCAAGGCTAACTGCTTATTGCTTGAAGCAACTTCGCTAAAACTAATCTTGACAATTTTTCCATATTAAACAAAAAATATTTATAATGCGCACTAATCTTGGCAATTTTTCAAGTCAGCACTAATATTTTTGCGCACTAATTTTGACATTTTTTTCTTTATTCTTATCAATATGACTTTAATTCATTACCTTGCATACTTGTATGAATTAGTAATATGCTTTTCTGATGTTGTGTTTATTGGTGGGAAATTTTAAGTGTTCTAAAATAGCATAAAAGGTTGTACATTCTTTTTCTTTTGAAAAATTTGGCTATCTTTCATATTGGTTCAATGGATATCTGTATGTGTGTTTATTTGTTAGGTTTTGGTGGAAACAAACTGTTGTACTTAGTTGGCTTGGACATTCTACTCAGCTCAACCTACAAAGTAATCTTAATGAACTCACCATAGAAAAATTAGAAAATATTAAGATAGTTGTTGAGCCACTGGTTAAACTGCTCAAGGTCTGGTTTGGATTTTGCTTTCCTGGTTCTGGTTAGGCTGACCATTTTTGAGCTGGACTTGGCCTTTTGTTTCTTCTTGATTTTTCTGCCAAGGTTTCTGGAGGAGTTAGGCTGGTGCTACTTTGGTCTTCATCTGTTGCTAGTAGTGGTTGTTGAGATGATTGGGCCATTGGGCCTGATAGGCTTTTTGGCAAAACCTCTGCCATTAACGGATTTGATATGCCTTTACCATCTACCGTTTGAGATGGGCTAGATTTAGGCACAACTTTGGATTGTTTCTAGAAGGGTTTTGTTAGAATCTTGAAGGGTTGAGATTGTTTTTAACAATTCTTGGATATGGGCTTGTTGGTCTAAGACGGTTTGGTGGTCTAGAAGATGGATATGGGCTCGTCGTTTAAATTTGGTATTGGAGCCAAGTTACCTGTTTTTGATTAAATTCCAAAACAAGATCCAATTGTAAATGTCTTGGCTTTTTGATAAACAAATAGTCCATACCAAGATACTTTAAAATTCATACAACTTGTTAAGTTTAAATATGCAGGTTTAGAACTTAGACAGACCAAAGTATTTAAAATATTATAATAATTTTAAAACACATGCTTATAGCATAGGATGCCATTGTGGAACACTATACCCTCATTGTCTACATAGTGCAGAAACATGAAGTAATTCCCAGATTAATATTGTAAGTAGTCAGTGTAATATTATAGTTGATTTAATACTAAATTTAGCAATCAACTATTTAAAGATATCAACTGGAGAAGATAATTCTAACAAAGAATCTCAACATTTTAATTTAGGACAACAAATTAATGAATTAATATCAAAAGTTGATACCCATATCTGTTCTTCATTAGAGTTCTATACTTAGGAGGAATAGCAGATGCGAAGTGGGCCTATATTTAGATATAATTTCCTAGACATTATTAACTGTTAGTTGCTTGCTTACATGTTCTAAGCCCTGTAGATGTCTTCATCTATATCTAATCTTAGAAATCAACCCGTTGCGCTTAAGAACAACAACCAGAACTAACTGCACAAATTGAGAACAATTTATTTCTTCCATTGACTTTGTAATACTTAAATTCTTTTACATGTTTTCTCTTGACATGAGTTGGCTTATAGTCATGCACCAATATATTATTAGAGTTATGTTCTACATTGTTGTTAGTATCTTATAGTTCTTGCAAAATAAAGTTTAGTTGTTCTTGTCAATCATAACTTACAAATACTTGTTATTGATATATACATTTTTTAATGTTCTAGAAACACTTTGGACACTTGTTTAATCGAGATTGTTTACTTATGGATAAGACATGGATGTATCGATCAAGATTAAGTGATGCATACCAGAAAGGAGTTGACATGTTTCTCGATTTTGCATTTACTAATGCAAGTTATGAGGATAAGATCATATGTCCATGCATCAAGTGTGGACTTACACTTCCCGTCACTCGGTCAGTTGCATATGATCACTTAGTATGTGATGGCTTCACAAAGGGTTACACTAAATGGGTTTTACATGGTGAAGCATCATCTGTTGCTACAACAGGTCTTGATATGCACATGCAGAATAGGCCACAATTAAATATTGATACACATGGATTAGTACACGAGGCATTTGGAATCTCAAATGACAATGATAGAGTCAATGGAGACAACCCTAAAGATTTGGGAGATAAACCAAATCCACAAGCAGAGAAGTTCTACAAGTTGATACATGATGGACAAAAGGAGCTTTATTCACAATGTAGGAATTTTACAAAGCTCTCATTCATCCTTCAGTTATTTCATATCAAGAATTTAGGCGGATGGAGTAATAAATCGTTCACTATGTTATTAGAGTTATTGAAGGAGGCATTCCCAGAGAGTGTAACACTGCCTAATACTGTTTATGAAATTTAGCAGATAGTCATGGAGTTAGGACTTAGTTATGAGAAGATTCATGCATGTCCCAATGATTGCATGTTGTATAGGAATGAGCACAAAACTGATTCTGAATGTTATGTTTGCTATACATCTAGGTATGTAATAGAGCAAAATGATTCAGGCAACGAGACATCCTCTAAAAAAGGCAGCTACAAAACACCTTCTAAGGTTCTACATTATTTTCCTTTGATACCAAGGCTACAAAGGTTATTCATGTCATCCAAAACAGCATCATCTATGAAGTGGCATAAAGAAGGTCGCACCAATGATGGTTGTATGAGACATCCTGCCGATTCTCCAGCTTCGATGACTTTTGACCACCTACATCCTGATTTCGCAGCAGATTGTAGAAATGTCAGACTTGGGTTGGCGTGTGATGGTGTGAACCCTTTCAAAACATTGAGCAGCACGTATAGCACCTGGCCTGTAATTCTTATACCGTATAATTTGCCTCCATGGATGTGTATGAAGCAGACCAATTTTCTATTATCATTGATTATCCCTGGTCATAGTGCACCTGGAAATAATATTGATGTGTATTTGGAACCTTTAATAGATGAATTAAAGGAATTATGGGTGGATGGAGTAGAGACATATGATGCATCAATTAAACAAAATTTCCAATTGCGTGCAGCATTAATGTGGACTATCAGCGACTTCCCTGCTTATGCTTATTTGTCAGGGTGGAGTACTAAAGGGAAGTATGCATGCCCTTCATGCCACAAAGACACATGCTTCCAGTGGTTGAAGCATGGCCGAAAACATTGTTACATGGGTCATCGTCGATTCTTGGACAAACATCATGCATTTCGAGATGATGAGCGATCTTTTGATGGTACTAAAGAAAAAAGAACTGGACCCAATCCTTTAACTGGTTCTATGGTATTGGATATGTTACATGGCTTCAATATCACTTATGGAAAGATGAGTACTAATCCAGAATTACCATATAATTGGAAGAAAAGAAGCATATTCTTTGAATTACCATATTGGAAGGATAATCTAGTGCGTCACAATCTTGATGTGATGCACATTGAGAAAAATGTATGTGAGAGCTTGCTTGGAACACTACTGAATTTAGAGGGGAAGACAAAGGATAATCTAAATGCACGTCTTGACTTGAAACTTCAAGGTATAAGGCCTGAACTCCATCCAAAAGAAAATGCAACAAATAAAACTATCTTGCCTCCTTCTTGTTTCTCATTAAAGAAACAAGAAAAAGATGTTTTTTGTAAATTTTTGAAGACTGTTAAAGTTCCTAATGGTTATGCAGCAAATATTTCACGATGCATCGACTTAAAGCAATGTAGAATCTTTGGACTTAAAAGTCATGATTGCCATATTTTGATGCAACAATTACTCCCTTTAGCAATTCGAGGAATGTTGAGTTCACATGTAACTTCACCTTTGATTGAGTTGAGTAATTTCTTTCGAGAGTTATGTTCTAAAGTTGGGGTACTCGTGATGATGAGCGCCTAACAGTCAATTGGAACAAACTTGGCCAACCTGACGACAAATTGGCAACAAAGTTATCATCGTTCATTGGAACTATTGTGCGTGATGGGAAAAATGCACCACTCACTTACAAGAATTGGCATAAAGTCCCAGCACATTACAAAGATCACATATGGGCACTTGTACAGGTAAACGACACAATATTGTGCGCAAGATGATCACATGTGAAAAATAGTAAACATGAGTAATGTGATTAAAACAACACTCTTTATAATTTTGTTTATTTTTAATTTTTTATATGGGAAGATTAATTTTTTATTATTGTATTCTTCTCTCTCTCTCTCTCTCTCTCTCTCTCTCTCTCTCTCTCTCTTGTTCTCTTTCTTTTCAGTCAAAGTTTGATCTTCCAAGTCATGCTAGGAAGTGGGTTATGAAGTGCTCTGGTAAGAAGTTAAAAGACTGGAAGGCAAACATAAAGAAAAATTATTATAAGAACCACTTGAGTTTTGACGAACAAAAGCATTACAAAGATAGTAGAGTATATGCTGATCAGTGGGAACACCTTATTAAGTATTGGGCCATCGAAGAAGTAAAGGTATACTCAATCTGATCATTATATGTTATTTTACTTGTTGTAGTTTGGACACCATTAATTTATGCATTTGTAATTTTAGGCACAAAGTGATAAAAACAAAGCAAGTCGTGCAGAGCGAAAGTATAATCATACTACTGGAACAAAAAGTTTTCCACGTGTTCGAAAGGAGCAGGTTAATTCATCTTTTCATGTTGTATATTTAATATCATAAGGTATACATAATGTGACATAATGATATAATTTATATTTTGGAATATATTATTTTGTAGAAAAATAAGTTGGGACACTCTCTAACTCGTGCTCACATGTTTAAAGTATGTTATACAAAGGAGACAGGAACCCCTGAGGCAACGAAAGCAATGATAGTATGTACCAAATAATTATGTCCATTTGAACTTGTAGATTAGTTAAAATTTCCACATTATAGTGTTGAGTTATTGAAATGTATATATTAAGTTATGTTTTTTGCAACCTTATAGGATGAAATGAATGAGAGGACAACCTTAAATGCAAATTTATCAAATAAGGGCCCAAATGATGCATTTGGACAAGTGATGGGTAAAGAAAAACATGGACGAGTTCGCATGTATAGATTAGGTGTCTCCCCATCTAATTTATGGAGAGATACATCTGGTCATAAAGCAAACCAAGACACAACAATGGATGTTATGGAAGGTGAAAATTCGGAGCTAAGGTCCAAAGCTTCCCATGTTCAGCATCCTCCGAATAACTTGACAAACACATCTAATCAGGTAATCTTAATAATAGAATTTATAAGTTATTAATGTTTTCCTACACTTATATATGCATACATATGTCTATGTGTGTGTGTGTTTGTAAAATTAAATAGTTCAAATTTGGTTAGGCCACAACAATTTCTACTCCTCTCGACATGGCAGCTCGACATCAAGCATGGTCTTTGTCATCGATACAAGATGCTTCTCTTACTCAGGTACCCACTAAGAGCTAATCATATATATCACATTATTTCCAACTTTATTTTAGAATACCATGCAACACTTATTTTACAATTAACCAAGGAATGAATATTGCGGACATAAATTTCATTATTTAAATCTAGACAATATGTGCTACATAGTCTAAATCATGACATGACAAAGTTTGTGCTATTTTTTTTTTAACTATAGGTGGAATTCATGTCTTTGTATTTAGTGATAAGAAATTCGAATAAAAAATATATTTTGAGTATAGCATTCTCTATTTCGGTATGCATATGCATCGGTCGAGAGGGTATGCCTCACACCTTTGGTTTTCATGTTAAAAACCTCTTCCAACTTCCTAGTTTTGGTTCAACCCTTCATTCGTGTAAATATTTTTGATCTTATGCAATTCGCTAATAACACTCCCCATTTCCATTCGATCTGTTGGCGATTCCATTGAACATGCAACCCCAATTCGTAGAACGGAAACCATGCAGTCTTTAATCCACCTTGTTTTATGCTCCAATAGGATGTAGGGATCCACAATCTCCATCACTCGTTGAGGCAAAGCATTCTTAACGAATATATGTAGATTTAAATGATCCTTAAACATATCATCAGTTGGTTTCTTACCTGTAAACATCTCTAGTAAAAGAATCCCAAAGCTATATACATCCCCTAGTGTGGAAGTCATGTCACCCATGCCATACTCTGCAAATTGTTTCTAATGTTAGTGTGAAAGGTGAGTCTAGTTAATTGATATAATTGTAATCCCTACAGAAAATGTATTTCATAATTTGTTAAGGTAGTTTTAATGTTAAATGAGGCCATTAATTTCAAGATTTTGTTGGTGCGTGCGAGTGACTGAGTGAGATCATTGTTACGATTCACATAGTTTAATTTTATTTTTCATTGAAGCAAACAGAAATTAGTCTTGCATGGAAAGGTATATCAAAATCAATATACAAGTTTCCAAGAATTGAGTAAGATATTGGAAAATGCTTTGGTTCCGAAGCAATATAATAATTCTTTCAACAAGTAGATACCATGTACTATTTTGATTCGGCTGAACTTTCATACTAGAATTACATAAATAATTTATTTTATTTTTTTAAAGGAAAAATAAGAAAGACAAGACATAACAAAGGAGGCGACATAGAGTATTAACTCAGGTGGAAGCACACATTGGGAGCATTCTTCTATAGAAGATAGTGCATCACTGCTAGGTAGTATACTTACTTTTTGGTGATATAATTAAGCATTTGACAATTTATTTATTTATTTGTTTATTTATTTTAGAGTAGAAGGACATGCTAGAGAGCTGATGAAATTGGCATTGATTTAAATTGGACTATCCTTGAGCTAAAATGCCTTGGCACTAGGGCATCAAGTTGCCAAAGTTGATTTATAAGGGTTAGACAATGCTTTCACTCGATTCAACTTGATGCTCACAATAATACTCTTTTTGTCTTCTTCATATTTCTTCACAAATTCTTTTACATGTTTTCCCTTGACATGAGTTGCCTTATAGTCATGCACCAATAAAGCAAACCAAGACACAACAATGGATGCTATGAAAGCTGAAAATTTGGAGTTAAGGTCCAAAGCTTCCCATGTTGAGCATGCTTCGAATAACTTGACAAACACATCTAATCAGGTAATTTTTTTAATAGAATTTATAAGTTATTAATGTTTTCCTACACTTATATATGCATACATATCTCTATGTGTGTGTGTTTGTAAAATTAAATAGTTCAAATTTGGTTAGGCCACAACAACTTCTACTCCTCTCGACATGGCAGCTCGACATCAAGCATGGTCTTTGTCATCGATACAAGATACTTCTCTTACTCAGATACCTACTAAGAGCTAATCATATAGATCACATTACTTACAACTTTATTTTAGAATAGCATGCAACATTTATTTTACAATTAACCAAGGAATGAATATTGCGGACATAAATTTCATTATTTAAATCTAGACAAAATGTGCTACATAGTCTAAATCATGACATGACGAAGTTTGTGTTATTATTTTTTAAAAAATTAATTTAATTTTCTTTTAAAGCTTTAACAAGACATCTTTCCATCATTTATTACCGCATGGGCTATTTCTGATTCTCTCAAAATATTGCTTGAAAGTAATTAGTTGATTGTCATTTTTCACAATTACATTTGATTTATATCGTTGAGGTTAGGTGATCCTGATATTGATAATGGACATGGTTTTCATTGTCGTTGATTGGTGCTTTTGGTTGTTATTGATTTTTTAAGCTATTGTTTGATATGGTCTAAAGCTTCACGGTTGTTACTTTTATATAATTTGTTGTAGTGTAGTGAACCAATTAAGTGATTAAAGCATTTGGCTTGCTTATCTACTAGAGAGATCCATATCACTTTCAGTTATGATCATCTTCACTCTAGCACTTTGTACTAGTTTTTTTTTTTTTTTAATATTAGCAATTTAATTTTAAATATACAATTACTTAAGTAGTTAAATCTTGATTTACAGGTGGGAGATATAGTTGTTCTAAAAAGTATCATTAGGCCAACAGAAACAGTTGCAATCGGAGTACTTAAAAGTACAGACGCATCTAAAGAAGTAGAAGGGGAAGAACTGGGACCTGAATATTGGGAGGTACATGTTCAAGCGCCAATCAAACCTAATGAGAGCTTGATCCGATCATATGGACTTGTCAAAATAATTGGACAAGCTATTGGAGCTCATGTTGCTTGGCCTGCTCCATTTGTGGTATATTTCTTTCGTAAATACTAATTTTATTAACAAATTTATATTAACTTAATATAGTTTCAATTACCTTCATATGTTTATCTTTTGGATGCAGATTTCACAAGTTATGGATGCTAGCCGAGAATATTTATACAAGTGAGGTTGAGAATTTGGGAACTGATTTTATTTTTGATAATTTTTCTCTCCGGAATATGCATATCACTATGGCTTTTCAGAACTTATGGTTGGAATAATTATTTTTTAGCACGTTTTTGCTTTAACTTTGTTAGTGTGGTAGAATATTTAATAATTTTGGCAAGGGATTTTTTTTGCAATATAAATAAATTTATATTTTTTTTTTTTTTTTTTTTGATGTGATGATCTTATGGTGGTAATATTTGTTTATTATTATGAAAATATTACAGGATGAATGGATGTCAAATAAATATATGATGTGGCAATTAATATTTAATTGTTTATAAAATTGATTCAATTTTTATAGGTATTTATGCATGCATAATTGTAGCTTTTAAAAGTGTCAATGAAAAAAATATATAAGTGGCATTTTGTAGTAGTGATAGTCACTAAAATAAGTTCCAATGGCACTTATATCTATTTAATGGCACAAATGAATTGGATTTAGTGGCATTTACGAAGGCATTATAAATATCAATTGTGGCATAATAAGCGTCATTAAAAATCCATATCGTGGCATTTTTTAGATTGCAAGTCTTCTTTAATGGCACTTGATAGCGTCACGAATAGTGCCTACCATGACATGAAAGTGTCACTGAAAAGTTTTACTCTTGATGGTGTAATGACACTTATAAGTGTCACTAATTCTTTTTTTAATGGCGCTTGATAGTGCCACAAATAATATCTACCATGACATTAAAATGTCATTGAATGTTTTCAGCCATGATGGTGCAGTGGCACTTGCAAGTATCTATCGTGGCACTCGTATCTACCGTGGCACCGATAGAAGTGGCACTTGTTCAAAATGCTACAAGACCGAAAAATGTCATTAGAAGAATAATTTTGTGGCACTTTCAAATGTCACTAAACTAAGAAAATGTTGTAGTGGGAAGAGCTGGTGCCAAGGTTTTCCAATTGTGAATGCCATATTCTTTCAAAAAAGCAAAGCTCAAGATAATAACGAAATTAAATGATATGTATCTAAGTTTATATTTTAATAATTACTTATGTTCATAGCGTTTTGATTTCTACTATATACATCCTATAATCTTACATCTATGTCGTCAAGTACCACGACGGGAACCTACTAAGTCCAATCTTGGACGGCACCTTTTTGCTCGCTCCCCTTAGGAGAAAAATCCAAATGACAAGTGTATGTACACCTCTTCATGTAAGTCCCCATATAAATCCCCATCATCAGCAAATATTTAACATATACGTTGACATATATATCATGATAGGTATCAAAAGACACATCATGGGTACCATTAATCTAATATTTATCATATATAGACATATATATTGATATGAAAAAGCACATCATGGATGATTAATGTCCGTTTATATACATATTGACATCTAACTTACCATTACAAAAATGTGTACAATGATTCTTCACAAAAAAGTCAAGACATACACAAGTCCCTATGGATTGATTCTATTCCATTCTCACCTACTTCTTCAACATTTTGTTTTCATCATCCTCACCATGAACTCTTCAACAACTTTCATCAAGTTCAACAAATTTTCATAAGATAAATTTTCTGTGAACATCTGCAAAATTCTGTGTATTTCAGGACTAGTCCTCTGCTTAACATACATATTCATTTTCATCCAATCCAGCCGCTTATCTTTTCAATTCTTCACCTCCTTAAAAGACATATGGCAAGTGACACCACCTTCCCAACAACCTAATAACCTCACTTATACCAATCATTCCTCTCCCACCAACCTTACCCATCCTGTTT